GTTTTTCCCATGTCTTTGAATGACAAATGTTAATGTTTCTATTATGATTAATAATTTAATTAGCATATGTGATGCCTCCCCAGAGGCTTAATTATCAAGTGTATCATCATAGTTTCAAAATAGACGTGACAGCTATTGACTCGAAATTTGCTTTATTGAAAACTTCCATAATGTACTTTTGTATGACAGATTCTACTAGATTAATATTTCTGTCATGAATGAATTATTCCAGGATAATAAGCAACAGTATTTTCTATACCTGTGTTAAATAATAGCACACACACAAAAAAGCATTATGGTGTATTATTGCCAAATATGCAGTTTTGAAAAGCTGGTTCAAAATCTCAATTTTTCTTTGTACACCAGGAAAAACTTCTGTAATCTACAGGTTCCAATTATTTACTGAACTTCAATTTATATCATGAAGGAGAGAGCACACAATGGAGAAAGATGAAATCTTTGAATCCAAATCTATGCTTAAATCTTAGCCCATCACTTTCCATGTGGCATGGATTAGCCAGTTGCTGTCTTTGAGCCTCAGTTTTCTAATCTTTATAACGGTGATAATCATGCTTCCTATAGGATTATTTTGAAGTAAGGCACCTGATTCATTGCAGGAGTTTAGCAAGTGGTAACTTATAATTATGATTACAGTTCAGATACTATGGTCAGGAAGCAATATGACAAGTGATGCTCTTGGGTTTCTGAGCATATTCACTTTATTCTGAGATAGGAAATAGATATATTTATTTAAATAGCATGCTTTTAATTATACCATTATATAATATACATAATTATACTATGCTATCACTAAACACAACCACACACACACATACCCCCCCACATTACTACAGAAAAACTAATCTGTACAAAAAGTTTATACTTCACTCTTCTAAAATTTCCAAACCACATTTCATGTACCTCTTTGTCCTATTTGGTATGCCCTACAGTTATAAAATAGTAATTATTGCCACCTCTATTTTATCTTGTTAAAAGAAGCTTATTACCTAAGATTGCATATGAGTTGTGGATATATCTAAGTTTTTCTTACTCATCTTTCACTATCTCAGGGTAATACTCTACAGTCGTTTCTATAAATATATGATTATTTCTAATGATTCAAACCTGAGTCACATAAATAACATGGTTAAAAGCCGCATAAAGAAAATATACTATTCATTTGTGGCAACCATCATCCAAACATTGCTGATTTATAGTGCCATTTTTCATTTTGAGTTTTTATTGACAATTCACAAATCAGTTTTTTAAAACACATGTAAAGCCTGTCTATGAATCTCCTTTTTGTTTTTTTGTTTCCTCAGAATATAATTTGCTACATTATAGGTTCAAATAGCTATCTTTATATTAAAATTATATATTTTTAACGTTGTAACATTGAAGAGTCTCTATTGAAGATGGATGTTGACTACTAAACTAAAGAAATTCAGAGTGAAAACTTCAAGATTCTCCAAAGAGCCTAGAGTCATCTCCAATGATATTGTTCCTTGGCAATAGAAATTACTTAATGGTAAGCCAGCCTGTCATCAAAAAAAAGTCTGTACTATGTCACAGATTTGAATTAACATTCCCCCAAAGTCATCTTGCAAATTTACATGGCTCCAAAAAAGAATGTGGATGATACCCTTCAAAGCAGCCTTGTTACTAGAGACACAAAATACACCAAATAATGTCTTTCGATTATAGTGTGGCTATTATAACTGTTTTGTTCAACAGCATATATGTTTATTTTTTTCAAAAAAAAATATGAAATAATTTATGTGAGCAAAAGGCAGTAAGAATCCATAAATAATTCAGATGATAATTTATCAACAATTGGTTATTCTTTGTGTACTCTTTATCTGGGTAAGAAATGAAGTTATAATATCATGGAATGTGTGATTCCTTCTTATAGTAGTGCTATACTCATTCAGAAATAAAATTTTAGTATGTATAGGTGTAATTTTGATACATCAATTAAAAGCTAACATCAATATTTTACCTGTTCTAAAAAGTGAATGTTTTAAAGTTGTGATTAACAAGACCAGGTTTTTATATCAAATATTTCATCTTGTACTATGTACTGATATGAGAGAGATCTGGAAGTACCCCTTGGAATGAACATCATGTAGATAATATAGTTTATTACTTTCATAACCAATAAAATGCATGTTAATTTATATCTTCATAAATTTTTGAAATCCAAAGCAAATAAAAATGCAGAAACACAAAAACACTTTAAGCTTATGTTCAGTATTCTATAAAATAATTAGAAAAATTAAAAGCTTATAAAAGAAAGTGGAATAAGAATTTAATTGAGAAAATGATAATGCCAGCCCAAAGCTGCACTAAAATTCCGAATAAAACATGGCTACTGCAATTGGACCAGGTTTCTTTATGAAGTTGTTTCTAATTCTGAAGCCACATATGTGCAGTCACAAGTAATGTAGAAAGTGTTACCATGGTAAGTACACATTTTTTCTTGTATAGACAATTTTTTTTCTTAAAAATGTATAAAGAATTCTCACCTCATAAGTTATGAAAATTGACTGTTTTCCTTATCATTACATATTAGTATGATGCAATGCAGCATAAATATAAATAATCCACTTTTAAAAACTTTAGCCTAGTAAGATGGACTATAAAACATTCAGTGAAAATGAAATAAGAAATCTCAAGTCAGGTAACTCTAAATGTTGGGTTGTAAACAAGTCATATCTCTGCTAAATCAATAAATATTCTGGCCTCCGGACATTTTTCACAGGCCTGAGACACTTCAGGAGTTCAAACACAATCACTAAACACACTCCCAGTATATTTTAGTCCTATGACTCTTAAGGAAAAATAAAATCATTCCTACATCCCTACTTTCCCATATATATATATATACATACACACACGCATACACACATACACACATACATATATGCATATATATATATATATATATATATATATATATATGCATATATATATGTCTCGAGGTAGTTCCTTTATAGTCCAGGAAGTAAATTCAAGGAAACCTGGATGGAGGCGTGACACTTGGACTGGGGAGGTGGTGTAATCTGTTGCGAATCACAGCAGGTTCTGAAGTGCTGGGGAACCCACGTGTGCAGGGGCTGGAGAACTTTTCCACCGCATCTCCCAGAAGAATTGCCTCATTTCAATATAGGGGGCTGACTGGAGCAAGGGGTGGGGGTGAAGGGTGGGCGGTTAAAAAAAAGGCAGAGGCGAAGCTTTCAAACCGTTCACGCATATCTACCTCTGCTTATTTTCCCTCTATTTCGCCTCCGATCAACTTTATTATTTTTCCCCTTTTTATAGGAGGACTTAAGCAATCGGGATGTTGAGCATCTCATAGGCTCAGGCTGGAACAAAGAAAATCGAGTTCCTAATACTGTATGTCTCCAGTTGGAGGGATCACGTGTCCCGCTTTCGCTGGAATGCACTCTTCTCGCCCACGCTATAAAAATCTCTATTGTGCTTAGAAATTTCGCTTAGGTTAGAATATGCTCACATAAAATTGCTTTTCATCCATCAGAAGAACCACATTTCGACATATACAGATACAAATTTATTTACCTGCTGACCCAGTTACCACTGCAGGTAAATTCGATATGTTGAAAGAGTATTGGAAAAGTAATCAAAAAGAGCAGGTAGAGTACCCTTGTGTCTTACCGGTCCCCACCCCACCTTTTTTTTTTTTTTTTTTTTTTTTAATAATCTCCTTTGAAGGAGAACTTCGAAAGGAACGTGGGAGTTGCAGATGGCTCCTTTCTGAAGCTGATTCCCGGGAGTTGGGAAAGTGACCCCTTCTTTTTCCTGCCTTGCGCTGCACCCTCTCGCCCAACCCGCTAGCTTTGTGACTTGATGGGGAAGAGACAGACAGGGAAGAGTGGGAGGAGAGGGCGGAGGCGGGTCCTTTATTCAGCCCTGATGGCCGAGAAGTAGTGTAAGGAAGCAGTCTTGCAGCCATCTCCGTTATAATGAAGTCACACTATTTTAAAAGGCAATCTGTACAGTCCCCCAACCCCCACCCCCATTCTTGACTCTGCAAACAGTAAGACTAGAGACCACCGGTAGCCAATGTAATAGTCCGCCGCGAGCCAGGGTGCCATAATTACCTTAATGCTAATGTGCTTCCCTCCCTCTTTCCACGTAGGATCCGAAACACGTCCTGCATCCTTAATAACTCGGAGAGGAGGACGCAAGATTCTCAAGGGGATCCAGGGCTGGATTGGGAATAGGCAGGTTCACCAGCTTCTCGTGCCACACAAAGGAGATGTGTGGGCAGGAGTTGTCTAGCTGATGGGGAGGGAGGCAAGGTTCTCCCTGACTCCCAGGGAACGCGCTCCCCCACTTCTTTTCCTCCTCCAGTCTTTCATGCTCCTTAGTCCTCTCCATCCCCCCAAACCCCACCCTTTCCCTTCAATCCAATGACAAAAAAAAAAAAAATCTTCTAATTCTGTTTTTTTCAAACAGACATCGAGACATTGATACAACACCTTCCAAGATAAAGAGACAAGTGCGTCCTGCCACAAGTGTGTGTGAGTGTGAGTGTGTGTCACGACCAAACACGCGCTTCATCCCTCAGACACCTCTGGGAAAAAAGCTGACTGGAGATATCCAAGATAATAACGAGGAGCTAAACCTAATTTCAGATGACCCAATGGTCCCAGCACCAGCGCCCAACATTTACCTTTCCTTTTCGCAGTATGTAACCCTTTAAGGTCTCTTGCCAGCTCAATCTACTCGGTGCTCCCATGCACCCGCCCGGTTAGCACCCCATTTCCAAATGCTCTGCAAGCTACCACATCATCGCCGCCTCCGCAGGCCACCGCACGAGCAGCTCCCCGCGAGCCTCGAAGCCTCCCGCCCTGCCACCCCCCCCGCCCTCGGCCGGCCTCTGGGGTCCCACACCTCGCGCGCCTACAGTCACCGCGGCCGCACGCGGCTGGGCCCCCGCAGCACCCTCCGCCACGGAACGAGCGTGCCCTACTCACATCGCCGGCGGGAGAAACTGCCCATGAGGTTCCGGAGAGCGTAGCCGTGCAGCTGCCAACGGTTATTCCTTAAGTGTTCAGGTGTCCGCAGTGGAGTGGGCGCCAGGGTCCTCGAAGGAGGAGGAGAGGAGGGAAGGAGTAGAAGGTAGGAAGAACAGGAGACTGAGGGGAATCCAGGAAGGTGTCACGTTAGACCATGATGCCGGTGCCCTTCAGGTGGACGGCTGGAGAGGTTCCCGCAGGAAGCCGCCGAGGGGAAGCCCGAAGGGCTAGCGGGGGAGGCAGGAGCGCGTCCACTCCCCAGCCTCAGCCTGCCCTGAGCGCCGCGCTAGCGACCGCCGCAGCAGCGGCGGCGGCTGCTGAGGCGCAGCTCCTTCCCCACCCCCAGAAGGCTCCACAGACAATAAATCCTGGGCGGAGAAGAGACGAGCAGGAAAGGCGAATCCTGCACCCAACTCCGTAACAACCCCTGCCGGTGGCCGCGCCTGTGCCGGGCGAGGATCCCCAGGGGCCAGGGCGCAGCGGGCGTCTTGGGGGGGCTGAGCGCTCCGCGGCTGCAGGCGGCTGTGGCGGTGGCCCGAGTGGGCGGCTGCAGGTACCGCCGGCGAGAACCCACTGCACAGGGGCTGGGTGTCCGTAGCTTCAAGCCCGGTGTTCGTCCGGAGTGGGGTCTTCCTCAGTGCAGTGGCTCGGCGCACAGGTGCCAGGATTGGCAGGCGAGGAGGCGCTGCTCGCAGCTCTTGGCTGTGTCTCCCCGCTCTCCCCGCCCCCTCTCTTTTTTCCCACCCCCTTTTCCGACGAAACCAGCTGCAGCTGCTTCAAAGTGTGAAAAATGTCAAGGAGATTTTCCAGTGATAGGAGGGGGTAACCATGTTCACAGCCCTCGGCCCCTTTTTGAGGTCCTCGCCCCTCTGACCTCTACTCGGGCTCCCCCAAATTATGAGAAGAGAAATCCCAGTCCGGCGGAGAATTGAAACGATAGCTTTCTCCTGGCTCAGTCACCACAGGCTGCTTTTCGAGAACCGGACGAGGGGCCGAGCTCTCAGGGTTCCTCTTGTCTCCCTTGTTGTTCGAGGCAGGTGGCACGAATCTCAGCGCCGGGCGGAGCGCGGCCGTGGGCTCCTCCAGCTCGCGGGCCAGCCCCAGGCGCTCCGGCAGCGCGGCGCGGCGCCCTGCAGCGCGGCCGCCTGGGCGGCAGAAGCGGCTCCCGGCCTGCGCGCCCTCCCGCGCGCCCCTGCACCCGCACTAGCTCAATGAGGCTGCGCTCGCGGCTCCTCAGGAAGCCGCTCCTGCTATCTCAGCAAAGAGGCGGCCGGGAGCGCCTCCTCGGGGTTTCCTCCCCCGCCCGCCTTGCCTGCTGCAGGTTGTTGACTGCCAAGGAGAAAAGTCTCTGCTTGTGCGTCAGGTCGCTTCACATCACTTACCGCATGGACCCTTGTGCCTGCTCTCAAGTCGTCTCCTCATTCTGGGGTTGCGGCGGCTGCCCTGGAAGTGCACAAAAAGAGAAGGGGTTTCCCAACTTCCCTCCATCTATTCACCGCCCCTCCTCCTGCCATGAACATTCTCTGTCTCTGACTGACACACACACACACACACACACACACACACACACACACACGCACGCACTCATATACTCTCTTAAATAAAGGCACACACACTTTCTTCTCATACACTTCTCTAAAGTCTCATAAGTAGCAAGACATGTTGATGAAGCTAATACTATTTACACTTTTTTTTTTTTTTTGAGACGGAGTTTCTCTCTTGTTGCCCAGTGCAATGGTGCAGTCTCGCTCACCGTAACCTTCACTTCCCGGGTTCAAGCGATTCTCCGGCCTCAGCCTCCCGAGTAGTTAGGATTACAGGCGCGCATCACCACATCCGGCTAATTTTTTGTATTTTCAGTAGAGGCGGGGTTTCACCATGTTGCCCAGGTTGGTCTCGAACTCCTGACCTCAGGTGATCCACTTGTCTCAGCCTCCCAAAGTGCTGGGATTACAGGCGTGAGCCACCGTGCCCGGCCTATATTTACACTTTTATTCTCTACACACATCCAATGAATTAAAAATGTGTATATTATGCTGGTGTTCTTTCATGGAATATAGGCTATGTGGTTTTTGTTTCTTTATTACAAGAGAAACAATTTTGTCTTCAGTTCTCTAATCTCGAATACAGTCAAGACTGTACACAGCATTCAAATGCCACTCTGGGGTGTATGTAAGCTTGCAGTTTAACAAAAGAAAATACACCTAATTGTATTCTTAGCTTTGGAATGCCAACGTTTTCAAGGTCAAAAATCATCTTTCCTGGCTGCTAGAAATCGTCTTTTAGAAAGAGACTTGAGAGACTGGCGTCTAATGTGCAGAGGACATAGAGAGGGATTATTGCCCACTTTATCTGTGCCATGGAGGTGGGCTGACTTTTAAGGACACCTTGCCAGTGCTTCACATCATTTGCATATAGAAAGGAAGAGGAGTATATTTTGAAAAGCAAGATCATTTTTTTATAGTGTTACAAAACACCACAAGAAAGGGTTCTGAAAAATAGCAAGGAAATGGAATAAAATTGTTAAAAGAATTTTTTGAATCGACCACTATCGTGCTCTATTTTTTTCACCTACAATGTTGTCCTTGTAAACATTTTGCCACATCTCAGTGTCTCAGGTGGATGGAGTGACATGAAATATTTTAGGGGCTGATTAAAATCTATTGACAAAATAACCTGGCACAACAATTACACAATTATAGCAGTCCTATATGGGTTTCCAGTTCTTTTGAATACAATCAACACAGTACTTTCACATATATTCTTTCATTTAATCCTTTCCTAAATCTAGGTGGTGGATAATCTAATTCACACTTATAGAAAGTGCTTAAAGGCTCATCTCATAAGGGTATCTAGTAGCCCTGCACTTGAACCCAAAATTTCTTATTTTAACTTCAGATTTCATTCTTTTATATCAAAATATTTGACGAAAATTCTTCTGTTTAAAATCACAGCCAATTATGAGTAACCGCAGATCCTTGCAAACAGGTAGCATATCTACCAATGAAGTTACCTTCTGTGTGATAAGTGGAAGTAGTTTCCTAAGAGAAAACAAACATATTCCTTTCCAATGGAGAAAAATATAATTTTTGGAATCCCAAATTAAAAATTGATGGTGCTGATATAATACATTTCAAATTACATGTCTTCCTTTCCCCTTTATCTTGTGCCAGAATCTTGATTTGGGACCATAAAGATCAAATGGATAAAATATTTTAAATATTTTCAGATGTCCACCTAATGGCTATGGGTTTTAACAAACATGATTACAGCCTTAAAAAGTAGGAGAAGGTATTCTTTTTAGAATAAGCTTTGAATACAATGGCTCCATTTTTTTTTGTAAGATTTTTGAATCTTTAACAAAATCTGGCTATTTACTATTTAAACAATGAGACATATTGAAGAGATTTCAATGGTTCCATAGAATTATGGAACTATTGAAATGTAAATGCAGGTGCTGTCTTTAAACTGCAAGCTGCCCTGTCATCAATCCTCTGGAAATGCAGATGACTGTCTAAAAATTGGAGAAAGATGTTGTTAATCAACTTCTTTGAACAACCCACTACTAAAATCTTTGAAATGATAATGGTTCTTAGGATAAGCAAAGACTAACCTTATTTGAAAATAAAACTCATGTGGTGGTACTAAACAAAAAGATGCCAAATATCTTCTAATATTTCTCTTTTGATGCCTGAAACGTTACCCTTGTCTTAAAAGATATCCTCTTTGGCAATTACTCATTAAAACAAAACTAATTATAGAGAGGATAACACTTTTAGTTTTGAGTTGTTAATATCTTAATAGGATTGGTTTAATTAGATTCTGGTAATTGGGGACATAGAAAACATTACAAAATTTTTATTTATGAAGATGAAGGTCTGAAAACCTCAGAGACAGTAGAGCTTAGTAAGACGGGATCAGTATGAGTGGGGTACCATAAGGGTAGAGAGTGATGCTTTGTTGTTAGTTTTTGAAAAGCCAGGTGGAGGTTCTGAATAGAAAATGGAGGTAGGTCATTAAGATTTTTCTTCAAAAGAATTTGTTAGAGGGCTTTTACTATGAAATTGACCTCTCAAATTAACAATCTGTTCTAGCTAAAGAAAATTCTTCTTTATTGTGGATTTTAATTCATTTGGATAATTATTTCTTAAACAGTAATTTGCCTGTTTAAGATGAAAAAATACAGTGAACACTGATATACCCATCATGCCCATTAAGAAAGCATTATGGATATGACTAAAGCCTCCTCTCCTGTGCCTCTATCTCTGTCCATCCCCTTCCCCTATACACAAAAGGTAATCTCATTTCTAAATTTTATATTTATTTGTACATTTAAACATTCGTGCATTTTATACACTTTTACTACTAACAATATTTTTTGTATTGCTTAGCATAGTTAACCCTCATATAAATAATACAGTATGCATTCATTTGTAACTTGCTTTTGCTTTTTAAAATATCAACATTATGTAAATGAGAATGATTCATCTTCATGTATGTAACTCTGGTTGACTGATTTTTAATGTGGCATAATAGTTAATTGCATAAACTCATCATATTCATTTTCTGATGACAGTTTTTACTATTATAAGTAATGCTCTTGGGAACGTTTGTTTATATCTCTTTATGAATGTACATAAGAATATTTCTAGTTTATGTATCACCTAGGAGTGGATTTCTGCTTTAGGGTATAATACAGTCAATATTAAATTGTTTTTCACATGGCTTACAGTTTTATTAGGATTTGTAAAAGTTTTTGTTGGTTCACACCCTGGCAATACTTGGTATTATCAGATATTTTCATGTTGTCCAGCCTAAGGGTTGAGAAATGATACTTTATTAAGGTTCATATTCACATTTGTTTGCTCACGAGGTTGAGCACCTTTTAATAGGTTTTTTTGCCACTCACATTTTCAATATGAATTCCTTATTCATATATTTCACTAATTTTCATTGGGTTTTCTTGATTTGTATATCTGTGTCTTTGTTTGTAGCCTAGATCCAAATCCTTTGCCAGTTGTATCACTTCTTTGGCTTTCAATCTTCATATGGCGTATTTTTGTGAAAAGAAGCTTTAATTGATAACATTATCAATACTTTTCTTTATGGGATGTGCTTGTATCTAGTTTGAAAAAATCTTTAATACCCCCCTCCCAGGTTATGAATACATTTTTCTATATTGTATTCCAAAAGCTTTATCAATTTTATGTTTTATCTTTCAGATTCTAAACAATCTGAAATTGATTCTCTATATGGTGTGAGGTAGGGATTAATTTTTCTTTTCTACTTTCTTCTCCATGGAATGAGTGCTTGCACCACTGCATAGTGTATCATATATCAGTTCATTGGTTTATTTTTGGGATATGCAATTTGTTTTTTCTATTCTATGCAAATTGAAAACTAAAAAAACTGTCCTGATTACTCAAGCTTTATAATCAGTATTGATATGTAGGGAGACCAAGGAGCCTCATCTTGTTCTTCAAAATGTTTGACTATCCTTCATCCTTTTTTTTTTTTGTACTATAAATTTTTAAGCATGGTGGAAATTCATAATAGCTTTTAAAATTTTTCTCACACCACAAATCTTACAAAAACAGATTGTTATTTCACAAGATCTTGTTCTATGTAGTGTTACAACAAATTAGCAATTCTGTCTTACAAGAACTTCAGAC